TCTCACAAGCCTCAGTAGCGACGAGATCTCATATGACACCTCCTCCCAATCATCCCTCTACTTCTCAAAAGTCAAAAAAAGGTCCGTTAACACCTCCTACCCATCTTCCACCTCCTCATTTTTCCTTCCCTGTCTCTGTACCTGGTTCTTCCCCTCTCACTGGCTCTGTTACTAGTGTAGAGGTTCACCCTCCTCCTCGTACTGTACCTTCCTCCCCTGTTCCCTCCCAGGTTTCTGCCTCTTCTGTCCCCTTCCACGCTTCTACAGTTCCCTCCACCCTTTTCGCCCCCCCCCCTACCTTGGTACAGTCCATTACAGTTCCAATCTTTACTCATCTTCCCCCTACTATTTCCAATATTGTCTCCCATACGACGTCTCTGAATTCTGAAACACTTGAAGCAATCTCTGAATATATTGCAGAGACCAAACCATCAATGGACACTGATCCACCCTCCGACTCCTTCTCTCTCCTCTACTCCATCTGCGCAACTCCTTTCTTCACAGCGCACCGTTCCTTCGCTGCTTGAACGTTTTCCACTGCCTCCGCGTGTGGACTTTTCTAACCCCTCTAGTCCGTAGGAACCCTTACCTGCGGATTTCAGGTATCTTTATCATTGCCAATCATGGCCTATTTACAGTGGAATATACGCGGCCTCGGGTAATCGGGGTGAGCTTCAGATGTTACTCTCCCAGTTTTCCCCTGTTGGTGTTTGCTTACAGGAACCAAAATTACACTCTGCTGTTATCTCTCCCATCTCAGGCTATAATTTGTATTCTTCAGATCCTTTTCCTGATGGGACCTTTAATGAAAGTGCCCTTCTTCTACGCACTGATATTCCGTACCATCAGCTATTTGTTCGTACTTCGCTGCATTGCACAGCAGCCCGTATCCACTTGCATAGGTGGTATACGCTCTGTTCTTTATATCTCTCTCCTTCTCTGGCATTATCTATTCCGGATATTACCTTTCTTGTTTCGTCATTACCACCACCGATTCTGTTACTTGGTGATTTTAACGCCCACCATTTCCTCTGGGGGGGTCTCACTGTGATTCCCGTGGCATTCAGTTAGAGGCTTTTCTTGCCACCCACCCCCTCCATGTTTTAAATACAGGTACTCTCACCCATTTTGATCCTCGGACTCACACACACTCTTGCATCGATCTCTCGGTCTGCTCTTCCTCCGCCGCATTAGACTTCACTTGGTCTGTTCTTCCAGACTTACATGACAGCAATCATTTCCCAATCATTCTTACTTCCCCTTCATATTCACCACCTCTTCGCATCCCACGCTGGCAATTTGATCAGGCAAATTGGAACCTTTACTCACACCTAACTGTTTTTAGAGAGGTTTCTTCTTCGTCCTCCATCGATGAGCTTTTACACCTCTTCTCGTCCTCCGTTTTAACCGCAGCTTCTCATTCTATACCCCAAACTTCGGGCAGGCATTCTCAGAAATGCGTGCCTTGGTGGTCTCCTGCTTGTGCTCGTGCAGTACGTTTGAAACGCGCTGCATGGGGCAGGTACCAGTACAATAGAACCACAGAGAGACTTCTTGATTTTAAGCAGAAGCGTGCGATCGCTCGCCGTGTCATCCGTAACGCTAAACGCACTTGCTGGCGAGATTGTCTCCACCATCACCTCTGCTTCCTCTAGAGTGCAGTCTGGAAAAAGTACGAAAACTGAGTGGTAAATATTCTCCTGACCCGGCTCCTGTTCTGCGGGTTGCCGGTGTTGATATAGCAAACCCACTAGATGTTGCCAATGAAATTGGCAATCATCTGGTTCGTATTTCTCAGGGACTCCATCTATGCCCCTCATTTCTTTCCTCAAAGTCTGCCAGAGAGTTAGCACCCTTGGACTTTTCTTCTCTCAGAGAAGAACAGTATAATGTGCCTTTTACACTTCAAGAACTGGAGGCAACACTCTCAGCTTGCCGATCATCGGCAGCTGGGCCCGACGACATTCATATTCGTATGCTACAACATTTACATCAGTCAGCCCTTGCAGTCCTATTACGCCTTTACAGTCTTATTTGGTCACAAGGAGTTCTTCCACAGCTGTGGAAATCTGCCATTGTTCTCCCTTTCCGCAAACCAGGCACGACGGGACATGAAACCTCCCACTATCGTCCCATTGCTCTTACCAGTGCAGTTTGCAAAGTGATGGAACGCCTAGTAAATAGACGTTTAGTGTGGTATTTAGAGACACACAACAGTCTCTCCACTCGTCAATATGGCTTTCGTAAGGGACGTTCTACCATAGACCCCTTACTACGCTTGGATACGTATGTTCGTAATGCCTTTGCGAATAACCACTCAGTTATTGCCATATTTTTTTACCTTGAGAAGGCATGACACAACTTGGAGGTATAATATTTTAGCCCAAGCCCACTCCTTAGGGCTTCGAGGCAATCTACCATCCTTCCTTAAGAACTTTTTAACTGACAGGCATTTCCGTGTTCGGGTTAATAATGTGCTCTCCCCGGACTTTATCCAAGCTGAAGGTGTCCCCCAGGGATGTGTTCTGAGCACAACACTTTTTCTCCTTGCTATTAATGATTTGGCCTCTAGTCTTCCATCAAATATTTGGTCATCACTCTATGTTGATGACTTCGCTATTGCCTGTGCAGGCGCTGACTGAAACCCACCAAATTACTTTCACTAGACGCTCTGTCATCTCCGATCATCCTTTGTACCTCTATGGCTCCCGTATCCCTGAACGTGATAGTCATGTTTCTGGGCCTCATCTTTGACCGTAGGTTATCCTGGAAACCTCACATTACCTCTCTGAAGGCAACTTGTCACAGCCGGCTGAACCTTCTTAAAACCCTTGCTCATCTTTCATGGGGAGCTGATCGTCGGACCCTCCTTCGCCTACATTCCACCCTCATTTTATCGAAACTTGATTATGGTGCTTTTCGCTCTTCCCCTGTCGAGAGCCTCTATGCAGAAGCGAACGTTCCATCCTTATCCGATCGCCGTGATGCCCATTGCCTTCGCTACTATGTACGCTCTCATGATCTCCGCAATCCTTCCATTTATAGAATGGTCACTGATATTAGTAGACATTCTTTATCTGTTCGCCGCCCCTGTTTACTCCGTCCCTTCTCTCTTCGCCTTCATTCGCTCTTGTCTTCTCTTCAATTTCCACCTTTCTATGTTCATGTAGCATCTCACTTTTCCCTACCCCCCTGGGAAGTTCCAGCTGTTCGAGTCTGTTCTTTCTCTCTCCCTTGCTCGAAAGCCCAACTGTCTACGGTCGTTTCCCGCTCTCTTTTTCTTGACCACTTCCACTCTCATTCTCATGCCATTGCTGTGTACACAGATGGCTCTAAGTCTTCTGACGGCGTAGGATTCGCAGCAGTGTTTCCAGACAGCGTCGTACGAGGGCATTTACTATCTTTGGCTAGTATTTTTACTGCTGAATTGTATGCCATCCTTGCAGCACTTATCCGTATTGCATCTATGCCTGTGTCATCATTTGTGGTTGTCTCAGACTCCCTTAGTGCTTTACAGGCTATACAGAAATTTGATACCTCGCCCCTTAGTCCTCCGTATCCAACTTTGGCTACGCCGCATCTTTACCAAGCATAAAGATATTGTTTTTTGTTGGTTCCCTGGTCATGTAGACGTACAGGGCAATGAACAGGCAGACACTGCTGCGCGGTCAGCAGTACATGACCTACCAGTTTCATATAGAGGTATTCCATGTACGGACTATTTTGCTGCAATATCTACCCACCTTCACACCCGTTGGCAACAACGTTGATCTACTATGCTCGGCAACAAACTTCAATCTATTAAACCGAGTATAGGTTACTGGCCGTCTTCTTATCACCAGTGTCGAGGTTGGGAGACTACTCTCTCCTGTCTTCGCATTGGCCATACTTGTCTTACTCATGGATATCTCGTGGAGAGGCGCCCTGCTCCTCTGTGAGAATTGCCGAGCTCCATTATCAGTCAGCCACATTCTGTTGGACTGCCCACTTTATCAATGAGCACGCAGAATTTACCTCCGTTGTCGTCTTCGCTCCGCTGCTCTCTTTACCTTCCCTTCTCGCTGATGGACCTACCTTTCATCCGGATTCTCTCATTGACTTTTTGACAACTGACTGACTTCACAAATTCTGATACCTTCAGCCCTTTCTACTTCAATCTCTTGCTACCCTCTACCCCCTACCCCCATACTATCCCCTGCCCCACTATTTTCTGTAACCTACTGATCATCCCTCCTCCCACCCAATACCCTCGCTTCCTTCCCTACCCTGCAGCGCTGTATATCCCTTGTGGCTTAGCGCTTCTTTTTGATTATAATAATAATAATATCATTGGTTAGGCCTCATTTAAATTATGTTGCACAGCTCTGGTTATATTACAGAAGGGACATAAATGTGCTGGAAAATGTACAGAAAAGGATGACAAAGTTGATCCCATGTATCAGAAATCTTTCCTTCAAGGATGGACCGAGGGCACTGAATCTGCACTCTACACAGGTGTAGAATTAGTTGGATATGATTGAGGTGTATAAATGGAAAACAGGAATAAATAAAGGGGGATGTAAATAACATGCTAAGAAGATCTAACCAAGACAGGACTCTCAGCAGTGGGCTAAAGTTGGAAAATTTTTTATTTAGAAAGGATATAATAAAGCATTGGTTTGGTAATAAGAGCTGTGGATGAGTGGAACAAACTCCCAAGTAGCATTATTGAAGCTAAAATCTTGTGCAGCTTTAGAAATAGGTTAGACAAGTACGTGAGTGGGCTGTGTAGGACCTGCTTAGCTTCGACCAGTAGGCCTACAGCAGTGCTCCTGCTTACATTCGTATGTAAAGAAGGTTAAGAAGTTAACAGTAGGCAGACATGGATAATGAAAGACTATGATTAAGAATGCATCAAAAGTGACATGGCTTGAATAGAAGTACTCATTATATTTCTTTACTTATGAATTTAATCTATTCATTGTTTCTTTAAATTAAAGCTTATTTTTTTTTCTTTGCAGCAAAGCAGTCAAAATACTTGGGAGAAAAGTACCACATCTTCCTTTTGTCTAGTGGTCGTATAAATATGTGTGGCATCACAACAGGGAACATAGATTATGTTGCAGAGGCAATTAATGATGCAGTCTGCAATGTGTCCTAGATTGTCCTGTAAAGTATATTAACATCAATGTTGACAGATTAAGAAAAATCAGAAGCCTGTATAGCTACTGCTACCACCTGCTGTGATAATGTAAAGATTATACCAAGTTCATATAATGGTCAAGGAAGTATGACAAGCAAGTAGAATTTAAGGGATTTTCTTAGTTCTAATTGGTTGTCTAGTAGATATTGTATATATAGTTTCATGTACCCTATGTTACTGGCCATAACAAACTTTTTGCTAGGTATGCTGAATAAAATATCCCATCTTAAGAGTGCAAGGCCTCGTCCCCCACACACACGTATACACAGTGGAGAAGGTATCTTAGGTTTTGTTGTTGTAGGGTTACGGCAGTTTCATGAGGCTCTTACTGACTGGTGTGATGACTACAAAAATTCTTTTGTAAATATAAACTATTTAATTTTATTAAAGTAAGACAGCATAATTTCCTCACATTTTCAGGGATAGAAATGAGTGGATAGGAGCAGGTTGTGAACATTTCCCAGAGAGGAAGGCTATCTGCACATCCTTGCTTATTTATCGAGAGTTAACTAAATGATGCACACGGTATATATAATTTCCTCTGTTTTACCCTGATTATGCAAATGTAAACAGAGGATACAAGTACCACTGGGAGAAGTAGCTCTTGTGAACAGCACCAGAATCTGTGACTTGATCACAAAATTTACTTTTAGCTCTTGAACAGTCAAGGGCCCAAAATTAAACTTGTCACTGGTGCCCATGAAGATCTACTTGGATGTCACTGTTGCTTATGTAGAGCTACATTTTTAAGCACAGCACCCTGAAATATGCTCTGAGCAGTAAATTTTGGCCTAGTCATGAGAATGCATCTTAACGGTGAGTGCACAGTATATAAAAAATTCCCATTCCATATGATACATGGGGGGAAAAGCAAACCTATGACCTTGTTTGGTTTAAAATAGAAACTGGGGGTTTTCTAGGGAGGTTTTATTAGATATTTCTTATCAGTTGATAGAATGGAAAACATACTAGTGACATGATCTTGGTCTATTTTAAGGCCAGAAGTAGCTTGAAATAGGGCTCTAAGTTGTGGAAATATTCAGTTACTGGACATTTTCCTGAGGAAGGGTAGAGCCTCCTACTCTCTCTGCGGGTTTAACGAGATTTTATTAGGTCTGCTTCATTTGTTGGATGCCCTAAACCATGATAATTTTTTCTTTGTTATATTTGATCCTTGTGGCTTAGCGCTTCTTTTTGATTATAATAATATAATAATGTTATATTTGATCATTCAGTGTTTTGAATCTGTAGAACCATTTCCAACTTGCTGTTGGAACAGTCTAGGTCAAACTAATACATTAATCTGCTTGGGAGTAAGAATCATTTCAGCATGCCATGGTGGACTGACATTCTATTCCCATAATGCCCTGTGGGGGCCATGGTGTTATGTATTTTGCACACCCACTGTGTAACTAGTTTTTGGCTAGGCCTCACAGCCAGATTTGAAGGTGCCATGATTTGTGTAGATCTATGGCACCCATACTGATGAAACTGATGCTCTATATATTTATATATATATGCTTCTAAACTGTTGTGTTATGAGCACCTCTGCAAAAACAGTGATTGTTTTTGCAGAGGTGGCCAGAAAACAACAGTTTAGAAGCATGTATGTATAAAGATACACAACATATCCCTCCAAACTGCCAATATCCCAAACCCCTCCTTTAAAGTGTAGGCATTGTACTTTCCGTTTCCAGTACTCAAGTCCGTCTATATAAAAATAACTGGTTTCCCTGAATCCCTTCACTTATTACCCTGCTCACACTCCAACAGCTCATCAGGTCCCAAATACCATTAGTCTCCATTCACTATCTAACGTGTTCATGCATGCTTGCTGGAAGTCCAAGCCCCTCGCCCACAAAACCTCCTTTACCCCCTCCCTCCAACCTTTTCGAGGACGACCCCTGCCCTGCCTTCCTTCTACAGATTTATATGCTCTCCATGTCATTCTACTTTGATCCATTCTCTAAATGACCAGACCACCTCAACAACCCCTCTGCAGCCCTCTGACTAATACTTTTATTAACTCCACACCTCCTAATTTCCACACTTCGAATTCTCTGCATAATATTTACACCACATTTCCCTTAGACAGGACGTCTCCACCGCCTCCTCGCTGCATCATTTACAACCCAAGCTTCACACCCATATAAGAGTGTTGGTACCACTATACTTTTATACATTCCCTTCTTTTCCTCCATAGATAATGTTTTTTGTCTCCACATATACCTCAATGCACCACTCGCCTTTTTTCCTTCATCAGTTCTTTGGTTAACCTTATCCTTCGTACATCCATCTGCTGACATGTCAACTCCCAAATATCTGAAAACATTCACTTGTTCCATACTACTCCTCTCCAATTTGATACCCAATTATTCTTTATCTAAATTGTTAGATACCCTCATCACCTTACTAGTTTCTATTAATTTTAACCCTGATTATGCAGTGGAAGGAAGCAGAAATCGGTATGAAATCACTTACATTGACTGCTGTGCAGGAAATGGCTAATTTAGTCACATTTGTTAGACCTGCGACTCCCAGGTGATAGAATTTAAACAAAAATCAATTTCCTTGTAAGATATGAAAACTGGTTTACTCCCATCTGTGAGGCCTGATATTACCATGTCTAATATCTGGGGTTATGCAAAAATGATGTGGCCAGTAATATAATAGTTTTCAGAATAATGAATATTGTTTAAGAAATTTAATTTCAAATTAGATAATCTCTTAAATTAGGTTAAATTTCAAGTTATCAACTCTTAATATAATTGGTTTTCAATACTCTCTTTAAAACTGCAATGAGTTCTTGGTTTACAAAGATTATTTTATGTGGGTGGTTTAGCACTTTCTTTGATTATAACAATAATAATTTTGTGGGTTTTAAACATAAATTATGCAGTAGCACAGAATCTAAGTGTAGGGAACTAGCACCAAAGAAATTGTATGTTAACTACATGATGAAGTACATTTCACATTTAAAAGCAAATGCTGGCAAGCACTGTTTATCATTAATGAAAAAAGTAATTGTACAAGTATCATGCAATATTAATAAGCAGTAATTTTTCTCAAACACTAAAAGCAAAATGTTTGGCAAACTGTGTATTATCAAATTTATATAGTTTGTATTTTACACTTGAAACACTTCTTTCTCTCAATTGAACACTTGCTGAATTAGAGAGGCTATCATTAAGGTACTTCAATTTAGAGAATACCTAGTGTGTTATTATTAAACCAGGTAATACTGACCTTAAAAGAAAACTGAATTAGGCTGTAACCTTCTAGTATGAGATTTGTCTATAGGGTTGGTTTGTGGTTTTATGTGGTAAGCCTAAGTAGTCGACGGTAGCCCGTGTAAATACTCGAGTGTGGCAAGACAGTAAGTGGTCAAGGGTAGTGCATGTAAATACTTCATGTGTATTCAATGAAAGTAAAATGTATAAATTCTTTGCCTTTCTTTTTCCCACCTAGATCAATCTTTGTGTATGCAGTCTTCACAGGAACAGAAAAGTGGTTATATTCAAAAGCACATAACAATCCCACAAGTAAAACAAGAAAAAGATTAAGGGAAAAATCTAGGGGAGGGGGGAGTTAACAGTGCATCACTCATTGCTCCTGCACTATTGAGACCCCCAGTAGGTTTAGCACTTGGTTTTGATTATAATAATACTGCACTATTGCAACACTACTACAAGCACTTTCAAAGCCAATTAGAGACCTGTTTAGTACTAATGGTATTCATGACTTTTTCACCACTAACAACAGTATGTATTAGCACTTTTATACACTAAAAAGTATTTATTAGTACCTGTACTTCTGTATAGTCCTTGTGGCTTAGCGCTTCTTTTTGATTATAATAATAATAGTACCTGTACTGTGTAGCCCTAGTGGCTTAGCGCTTCTTTTTGATAATAATAATGTATAACCCTTGTGGTTTAATGCTTCTTTATTATAATAATAGTACCTGCACTTTTAATAGGGCTTATTAACTCTACTAAAAGTACTTTCCAACACTTGCCATTAGTATTAATACTGTTAGCACATACCAAAAATGCTCTTTCAACCTTAGTATCAGGACTGTTAGTACTGAAGTAATCAATATTTCAGCAGAACTTTAAAGTTTTACAGGTCACAAAAAAACTGACCATCCTAATGACAGTGGTCCTGCCCTTTCCTGGGTATCAGCTCTTCCACTGTGTCAAGGTGATAGTAGAGGGCAGAGGGTTGTGTGGTAACTATGGCAGTAGGTTCTCACAGCAATCCCCCTCAAGGAAGGCTCCTTGACGCTGGTGAGGGGCTCTTGATCTAGGGAATTGGATCTGTGCTCCAGTTCCCTGAATTAAGCCTGAATGCCTTCCATCCCCCCATAGGCGCTGTATAATCCTACGGGTTTAGTGCTTCCCCCTTGATTATAATAATAATAATAATCTCGCAGCAATCTTGGGTAAGATTATTAGTATGAATACCAATTTGGAAAGGTTCTCTACAGGCTGAAGTGTAGTACAATAACTGGAGTTTAATGGCAGTCTGGAAACTTAAAGGGCAAGAAAACCATGCTCAAATGCCATGTTTGTAAGTAGAGGCGAGTTGAAATTGGTGAGCAAGATAGACTACATCAGAAAAAAGGTACTTGTACAGGAAAAAGTGAAGTATGATGTGGTATTTCAGTTTGACAGTTGTTCTTGATATGTTTTAAGCAAACACTTAAGGGTTTGGCAAACTGTAATATACTGATTTTTACATAAGCAAAAAGTAACTACTCCCATTTTGTATTTGATTCTCCATAATTTAATCCTCCTTCCCCAACACCCTAGCATTTACTTTTTACAGCTCCATCTATAATTGTTAAACAACCATGGTGGCCCCTCAAGGAAGGCTCCTTGACGCTGGTGAGGGGCTCTTGATCTAGGGAATTGGATCTGTGCTCCAGTTCCCTGAATTAAGCCTGAATGCCTTCCATCCCCCCATAGGCGCTGTATAATCCTACGGGTTTAGTGCTTCCCCCTTGATTATAATAATAATAACAACCATGGTGACACAAATTTGTCATAAGGCCTACTCTTCAGTAAAAGTAATCTCCCCCTCTCCCCCTCGCCCTAACCTGAGCCTCTATATCCTCGTAAAAAAAACTTTACAGCCTTTAGTAACTTGCTACTTATTCCATACACATTCAACATCTGCCACATTGTTTCCCTATTCATTCTATCATATGCCTTTTCTAAATTCCATAAATGTAATGAAAACATCCCTACCTTTATCTAAATATTGTTCATATAATCATATGCTTCAATGTAAACACTTGATCCACACATCGCCTGCTGTCTTACCTCTAATTTTTTCAATAACCCTACCATACACTACCTGGTATACTCAGTAAACTTATTCCCCTATAATTTGTACAATCTCTCTTGTCCCCCTTTTATGTAAAGAATTATACATGGTCTTTGCCAATCCCTAGGTACAGTGGAACCTCTGGTCACAACCCGATTTGGTCGTGATCCAAACCTAATTTCCCCATTGGGTTGTATGTAAACACGATTAATGCACTCCAGACCTCTACGAACTTTGTAAATATTGTTTTTAAGATTTTTTTAAGCACAAAAAGTTTAATTATACAGGTACCATCCGACTTATGACCGGTTGGTCAGAACCAAGCTTGGTCATAAGTCAAAATGGACAAAAGTCGAACCTTACTACTGAATATCATCACACTTTGGTAATGATTTTATTTTATTTTGGTATTTCTTAACTTTTTATGCTGTTAGTACTGTATTTCATACAGTAAGGTTTAGGATAAACACTGTGTACAACACAAATATTTATTTCCCAGAAATTTGGCATAAAAAACATGGTTGTAAGTAGGATGGTAGGGGTATTATAGAGTGCACTGAGAAAACACACTGCACGAGTCCATTCTAGACCCCTACAAATCATTTGCTGTAAACTTTATTTTTTGTGCTAAAAAAAAAAATTGAAAAATCCTTATACAAAATAATACACAGTTTAATAGAGAAAAATGCCTTAAATAACACACAAAAAAAAAAGACTGAGGCAAGGGTCTTTGTTAGGTGTACACAAACAGGAAGTGGGGGACAAATGGCATAGAATGTGAAAATTGGCACGGCTGTGTTTGTTCGGCACCTGACTGACCAGATGCAAAAATTTGGCAAATTTTTTGGTTGTAAGCTGATTTGTTTGGAATTTTTACCCAGCTGTGGAAATCTGCCATTGTTCTCCCTTTCCGCAAACTGGGTACTACGGGACGTGATGCCTCCCACTATCGTCCTATTGCTCTTGCCAATGCAGTTTGCAAAGTAATGGAACGTCTGGTAAATTGACGTTTAATGTGGTATTTAGTCTCTCTCTCTCTCTGTTTGGATACATATGTTCGTACTGCCTTTGCGAATAACCACTCTTCATTCTCCGTCTACATGGATGGCTCGGCACAGTCCTCCCCCCCCTTCTACATCATCTGTGGCCTTCTTCGCTAATCTCTCCATCAAACGTGGCGGTTGGACCCTGCTCATTCTGTTCTGGCAGGGGAGCTCTTCGCCATTCACCAGGCTCTGACTTTTGTCCTATATCACATTCCCCCCACAACCACTGGTCCTCTTCTCTGATTCCCAATCTTCCCTGGCACTTTTGTGCTCTGCGCGTCCTCGTTCGTCAGACACAATCTCTCCTCCTGCGCTTCTTGCAGAGCCCAGGTTGGAGCATCTCCCTTCAGTGGGTTCCCGCCCATGTTGGAATCTGGGGAAATGAAGTGGCAGATCGGGTGGCCTCCCTTGCGCACACACTTCCTACTGTTACCCCTCTTGCCCTGGGCCATAGTGATTTCACAAGGGCTGTCTGGAAGGGAATCAGTCATCAGTGACAAGAGGGCCTTGCACACTTCGGCGTTGGGCTCTGTCCGAACTTTTAATGGCCCCTGCCCTTGGGCTCGCCATCTCAACCGCTCGGTGGACGTTGTACCGACTCTCCAAGTCTGTCACTCGCGACTCGTCTATATTGCCTTCAGATGACGGACTCTCCGTACTGCCAGTGGTGTCCCTCACAGTCTGAGACGGTGGAACACTTCCTACTGTGGTGCCCACATTATCACTCTGCACGGACTACTCTTCGTGCAGCCTTGCGCACACTTTCACTCTACCTGTCCTCCTCAACGGGGAGGGGTTTCCTCCTCTGGACCGTCAGGAGATTTTGGCTTGTACCTGCTCCTTCCTGCTGGCTTGGGGACATTCGAGACATAGATATTGTAAAAGAATTCTTCCACTTTGGTCGTTTTCCCTCCCTGCACGGGGAGGGCCCGGGCTCGATACAGCGTATGCTGTCAGGGCCCTTAAAAACCCCAACGGGAAAAAAACCCACTTGGTTTTTGAAATTTTTTTTGACCTTGAGAAGGAATTTATACAACTGGAGGTATAATTTTTTGGGCCAACCCCACCCCCTTGTCTCTGGGCAATCTACCACCCCCCTTAAATTTTTTAATGACAGACATTTCCAGTTCGGGTTAAATAATGTGCTCCCTGGATTTTGCCCAAGCTGAGGGTGTCCCCAGGGATGTGTTCTGAGCCACTTTTTCCCCCTTGCTATAAATGATTTGGCCTCTAGTTTCCATCCAAATTTTTGGTCATCGTATGCTTGGCAGGTGCGACTGTCACCATACAGTTTTTTCTCCATCAGTGGCGCCCGGTTTTCCAATTGGGCCACCACACAGGGTTTAAATTTTTTCCCTACCAAAAACCTCTCTGTCATCTCCGATACCCTTTGTACTTCTATGGTCATGTATTCCTGAATGTGATGTCGGTTCTGGCCCTTCTTTTGACTGTAGGTTATCCTGGAAACCCGCTTTAACCTCTGGGGCAAAATTGTCACACGGGAACCTTCTTGAAACTCTTGTCATCTTTATGGGGAGCTGATGTCTAACTCTCCTTCCCTCATTCAGCCCCCATTTTATCGAAACTCAATTATGTTAGGTCTATTCAGCGGCCCTCCTACCCTTAAAACCCATCCCTCACCCGGGGTTACATTTGTTCTTTGGGGCTTTTTTTCTTTCCCTGTCGAGAACCCCTTGCCCAAGTGAATATTCCCCCCTTGTCCCATCACGGTGGCCCCTTGCCTTTCCTACGATGTTCGCTCTCGTGGTCTCCCCAATCCTTCCATATATGAATAGTCACGGGTTAGAGACATTCTTTTTTTGGGTTTTGCCCCTTTTTTGCCCACATTTGCTCTTGTTTCCTTCAGTTTCCACCTTTCTTTGTTTATGTAGATCTCATTTTCCCCTTATGGGAAGTTCAAGCTGTTGAATCTGTTTTTTTCACTCCCTTCGTGAAAACCCCAAATGCCCCGGTAGCTTCCCGCTCTCTTTTTCTTGCCCCTTCCACTTCTGCCATCGCAGTGTCACAGATGGGTCCAAGTCTTCTGATGGCGTCAGTTCCAGCAGTGT